TTTTTCCTCTGGCGAGGAAAGGCAGAAAGCTGCCGCTAATCCAACATAAATACCTATGGAGTCAGTCTGGAACGTGGCATCATAATCATTTACGGAAAAAAAAACCCTGAAATCTGACGAGGGCTTTAAAAACGACGTAACCTGTCGGAAACCCTGCCAGGGAAAACACGAGAGCAGAGCCACGGAGCCATCGGAGTGCTAAACGGCTTGGTGGCATTAGCAACGATGAAGGGGAGAGGGCAGGCAGGCACGCGATGGAAAGGGCACGGGGCAATTTTGGCCCAAGGCTCCCTCTTTGAGCCTGAAAACAGAGCGCCTCGGTTTTTCAACGGAGCTGTCTAATACAGGGGTCACCAACTGGTGGTCCGCAAGAAAATTTTGCTGGTCCGCAGAAAAAATGTTTGCATTTTTTATATTGCACCAAATCAGGGGTCCTCAAACTACGCCCCCCTGGGATGGATACGTGCAATGAATGCTTGTGTTGCTGCAGAGAGTCTCCCCCTTCGGGGTCTTCTTGTGCGGGTCGGAGGGGGCAGGAATCCCGACTTGGGGTCTGCTTCAGCCTCCTCGTGGGGGGCTTTAAGCGAAGGCTGGAGGGAAGCATCACTGGTGGCGAAGAGCTGGAGGGCCTCGTTCCAGTGGGACTGCATCATGGCCTGGAACTGGCTGACCATCTCAGCCCGCTGAGCCTCCAGGCGCCGGCACCTGGCCTTGCACTCCCGCAACCCCTTAGATATTGGAGCACTGCTACCACGTCAGTTCAAATGACGGAAGAGCCATGCACAAGGGACAGCATAGAGTTGACACCATTTGAATTTCAAAACTGATCACTCGGCTTCAGTGGTGACGTCGAAAGCTAGCCAGGAACTCCTCCTCCTAAGCAGCTTCCCGTAAAGCAGCACCCTGCTATTCCCTGCCCTCTTTGAGCCTTACGTTAAAAGTCAATATGCACCTTGCCAACCCAGCTTGTATCATGCCAGACCCCCTTGGCAACCAACTCAGCGTCCTGTGATCTGTTTACAACTTTCTAAACTCACCCTGGCTGGGGAGAGAGACGGGAATGGTGGGGAGGAGACTACAGTGTATACAATGCGGCTAAATATACAGATTTATTTATGTATCTTATTAAAACATAAGACAGTAAAAGAAAAGCCAAGACATTTTGCTATAACAGTTGCGCTTGCTTTGAAATGTTTCCCCCCACCCCTCCAATTTTTTGACATCTTCTTCGACCTCGAAATAAAAATAAAATAAAAAGTATGACCCAGCCAGCAGAAAAGGTCAAATTTTTGGTCTTTTAGGGCAGGATTAAACAGGAGAGAATTGGGACTCGCATCTCTTCTGTCACATTTATCCTTACGGCAATTTTTTCTACAATTTTGTCTGTATCCTGACATCCTTGTGTGTTTCGCAATATACCCAGCCCAAAAGAAAAGGAAAAGGAACATATACCAAGCTCCCTAACTCAGATTTGGGGTTTGAAGGACTTCCCATAGTTACAACCAGTACACCGTGTTTCCCCAAAAATAAAACAGGGTCTTATAAAATGATAAAAGTGGATTTATGATAGGGAAATAAAATGTGGAAGAGGAAATTTATTTTCATGTAAATATAAAGCAAGGATCACTGGAAGGTCGCCCCGGAAATCCACCAGAGAAAGAAAATAAATAAGAGCAACAACGGAAGGAGGAAAAAAGAGGAGGGAAAGAAGAAAGGGGTGAAGGAGAGGAAGCAACGGAGGGGGAATGAGAGTAGGAGAGAGGGAAAGACGGAGAAGAAGAGAGGAGGAATGGGGGAGAGGGTGGGGCAGAAGAAAAGAGAAAGGAGAGGAGGAAAGGAGAAGGTAGAGAAGGGAGGTTGGGAAGAAAGAAGGAAGGAGTAAGGTTGTTGCAAAATAAGATGGAGATGCGGGGTGGCACGTAAGCGATCCCAATTGTGTTTTTTGTATCACTAAGCAGATTTTGAAAAATGTAGAAGTCTGCAGATAAATGTTAATAATATTTACGAAAAAGTATATTGGGGAATGTATATGGAAAGGAAAAACTAAAAATAAAACTTTTTTTTTTAAAAAACCCAGGATCTTATTTTCTATTGACCCCTGAAATAAGCGCTTGGCCTTATTTTCGGGGAAGCCTTATTATTTTAGTGGTGCAGGAAGCCCCTCTTAACCAAGGCCTGCAGATCAGCTGATCCAGAGAGGGCCGGAAGTTCTGTCTCTGTTTCTGGCGCACTCTCGCCACCATAGCATTGCTGGGCCTGCCGCTCTTTTTGTGGCCGCCACTAAGAGAAGCTAAAGTTTGTGGGAGTGGCTTCCGCAATGCCATTCCGCGTGGATGGCAGGGGAATTTGGGGCATGCCCCCCTCCTCATTTCCCCCAGGAAATGACAGGGACCGGCTGCGCATGCGCTTAAATATTTTCAGGGAGGGCTTATTTTCGGGGAAGGGCTTCTTTTAGCGCATGCGCTCAAAAGCCCGATTGGGCTTATTATCTGAGGAAGTCTTATTTTCGGGGAAACAGGGTATAATTTCTCTCAGAAAGCAGCCATACGATCAAATCGGTTCCAAATGGGGCAATTATTCACATCTACAGAGGAGGCATTCCTCTAGGCCTGGGGCCTTTCTGAACTTTTAGAAAGAAAGAGAGAAACCAGGCCTGCCCCAGCTCTTCGGCCACCAGTGAGAATTCACTGAGATTCAGCTTTTCCGAATGAGCAGTAGTCAATCCCACCATTTCACCCTTAGCCTGCTGTTGGTGGGGGGGGGGGGTTACAGGTGGGCACAAGGCAAAGTCACATGCTGCGACGGATAAATTGAGGTGTTACAGACGGGGAAGGGGAACAAGCACCTTACTTCACACAGTGGTTGGTGGGTTTTTTTTGCCTTGGGGAATCCCACGAAAGTTCTCAATGGGGTCGCTTCCACCTTCTTCAGCACCGTCCCAAGTCCGATCATTGTCACTTTCCAACAACCCTTGATTAGATTAGATTAACAGAGTTGGGAAGGTCCTTTATAGTTCATCCAATCCAACCCTTCCACCCAAGTAGGAGACCCCACACAATTTCCCAAAAATGGCAATCCAGTCTCTTCTTGAAAGCCCCCAGGGATGAAGCTCCTCTAATTTCTGAAGGCAACTCCTGTTCCATGGGTGGATTGTTCTCACTGTCAGAAAATTCCTCCTTATTTCCAGGTTGACTCTCTCCTTGGTCAGTTTCCATCCGTTATTCCTTGTCTGGCCTTCAGGTGCTTTGAAGAATAGTAGATTGACCCCCTCCTCTCTGTGGCAGCCCCTCAAATATTGGAAGGCTGCTCTCCTGTCTCCCCTGGTCCTTCTCTTCACTAGACTAGCCAGGCCCAGTTCCTGCAACCGTTCTTCATATCTTTTAGCCTCCAGTCCCCTAATCCCCTTTGTTGCTCTTCTCTGCACTCTTTNAAAATATTTACATGGCAGCTTTCCAAGATAGATAAGGTCTGTGGTCATAAATACTCCTTTGGAAGACTGTTTGCCAGGCCTTTGCTGAATGTGAAGGAGAGGAATTCACATTCGTTTAACAAAAGGGGTTTTGTCGGGACCAGGACTCTGCCTCCTGATTTTGGGGGAAGCCTAGGTCAGAACATCATCCATGGGTACCAACATGAGTAAAATCTTGAGAGAGATGCAAGCAATTTGAAACTAGGAGTCTGATGAGCAGAGCTGGGCTATCAAATGGATGAAATCCAGAAGTCCTTCGCTCTCAAATGGATTCCCAGAGGAACTAATTGAATCCTGATGACACCTCAATTCAGTTGGTCGCAAAAGATCTCTGACATAACATAACATAACCATCTACCTGGTGTCCCTTTGGACACCCAGCCTTTAGCTAGTGCAAAATTCCTAGAATTCCCTGGTTGGAACTGGACTCCCTGGACAGGACAACTGGACACACCCGGAGAGCGTGTGGCTGGCAGCATTTGGACGCAGAAAAGAGATGGCGGGCAAAGTTCTTGGGACTCACAATTCATCTGAACCATCTGTTGCATAATCCTTACCTGGAGCTGGAGCAATCCGTGAACGTAAACGGTAAAAACTTTACTGTTGCTTTCCAATCCAGCGATCACCTCCAAAGATCTAGGCAGGTGCAAAAAGAAGGAGACAGTCAGGATGTAACTACTGAGATGACATCAAATAGGAAGGAGGGTCTCAGATTGACAAGCTTGACCATATTTTCACAGATTAAAAGACTCTGGTAACCTCCAGTACTTATTGGAGCCCTACAAACGCTGCCTGAGCCCTTGTTCTCTCCTGCCCTTCACAACACAAATTCTTTAGCCGATTCTGCCCTAGGTTTCTATAAACCAAGAGACCACCTCCTGCCACTTACCTCCCAACGACCAACAAGATCACACAGGTTGGGCCTCCTCTGGGTGCCGTCGACCGGACAATGCCGGCTGGTGGCTCCCCAGGGGAGGGCCTTCTTTGTAGCTGCACCGGCCCTGTGGAACGATCTACCCGTAGAGACCCGGACCCTTACCACTCTCCCGGCCTTCCGTAAAGCCATCAAGACCTGGCTGTTCCAGCAGGCCTGGGGCTGTTGATCAATATCCAGCCCCACTTAGACAGAATGGATGGTGCGTAATTTTAATAATTGTATCTTTTATCTTAATTTTTAAATGTTTTTTTTTATCTTGCCTGTAAGCCACCCAGAGTCCCAAGGGAGTGGGCGGCATACAAATTTTATTAAATTGAAATTGAAATTGAAAAATAGTTGTTGTGGCCCACCAGAAGAGCTGGTAGCAGACTCAGACAGTGAGGAGGTTGGGGAGGAAGATGGGCCAGCCCTGGAGTCTGGGGAAGGCTCTGATGAGGGCTCAGAGGCAGAGAGGGGGCCAGGGCCGTCTGACTATTATCAGCTGCCTTTGAAGTCAGAGATCAGTGGAGCAGAAGAACAGCAGGAACCTGTTCCCAGTGTGCTCATGCACAGAGCTGCCAGGAGAAGGGAACAGCTAAGGGACAAAGGCCGACTCGGGATTAAAGGCACAGGTGGATGGTGAATGGCCCCTCCCATAGGGAATGAAGAGCAAAAGGGGAGTGGAGTTTGCAGGAGACAATTAGTTCGTTTAATTAGTGTGAAGATTTGTTTGTGACTTCTTGCCAAGCAATTGCTGCTACAGCATGGCGTTTGGAAGATATCGGCTTGGCAGCTCTCCAAGCCTGATAAAGATCTATAGTTGTGAAATCTCATGAAAGACTGTTGGCTGGAACGTTGCTGGAGAGGAATTACTCTGCTCTATCCTATCCCATCCCATCCCATCCCATCCTGTATTCTATTTTGTTCTGTTCTGTCTAACCTACATTCTGTTCTATTCTAGAAAGTTTTCTGCCTTCCCTTTTAAGCTTAGGATTTCCCAGTGGTCTCCAATCCAAATGTTAATCAGGCCTGGTACTGTTTGGCTTTGAAATCAATCAAGGTGAATTAGACAGGTGGACCAACGATCAATAGATTTAAAGATGCTAATAAGTACTATACTGTACGTGTCACTATTAAACTGTGATTCTTAACTAGGAGGTTTTAATTTCATTGTAAAGAGCATCTTTAACTGTCTCTGCCTCATTCTCTCATTTTCCTGTCTGTAACTTCCAGATAGTGGGATGCGGTGGCTCAGTGGCTAAGACACTGAGCCTGTGCAGTTCGGCAGTTCGAATCCCTATCGTTGCGTAACGGAGTGAGCTCCCGTGATTTGTCCCAGCTTCTGCCAACCTAACAGTTCGAAAGCACGTAAAAAATGCAAGTAGAAAAATAGGAACCACTAATTTTGGTGGGAAGGTAACAGTGTTCCGTGCGCCTTCGGCATTGAGTCATGCCGACCACATGACCATGGAGACATCTTCGGACAGCGCTGGCTCTTCAGCTTGGAAAAGGAGATGAGCACTACCCCCTAGAGTCGGGAACGACTAGCATATGTGTACGAGGGGAACCTTTAACTTTACATTTACTGCCTCCAGATAATGGCTGCTATAGTATTTACTGACATACAGTTGTCCAAAAGAGGCTAGTGAAAACCCCCAAAATATAAAACTATTTTTTTAAGTTTGTGATGCATTCATGCATGTATGGGCCATGGAGCCAAAAGAGGCCCAATGAATTCTGCTGAGAGGCTACCGAGATGGGAAAAAGGATTGGAGGGAAGGAATAAACTGGAATGATGGGACAAGAGGAAGAGGACGCTTATCAAAATAGAAACATATATAAAGAAAGAGCTCATAGCATGTAGGAAAGACAGTTCCTGCAGAAAGAAGAGGCAGGAGGAATCAAATTAAGATGCCGAAAGGTCATTTGTGGTAGATCTCCATAGTTCCTGGATGATACAAACCCACAATTCAAGGAATTTGATGCACTCACGTATATCGGTGGCAGAGGGATTCAATGCAGATCAAGACTCGGACATTGTCTCTGGCTCGAAGTTGCAGTTTACTTTTCAGCTCACTGTGGTCTTGGAGAGAAAGAAAGAAAAGAAAAGAAAGAAAGAAAGAAAGAAAGAAAGNGAAATTTTGAGTAGTTCGGAGAACCGGTAGCAGAAATTTTGAGTAGTTAGGAGAACCAGTAGCGGAAATTTTGAATAGTTCGGAGAACCGGTAGCGGAAATTTTGAATAGGTTGGGGAACTAGTAGTGGAAATTTTGAGTAGTTCAGAAAACCGGTAGCGGAAATTTTGAGTAGTTTGGAGAAACGGCAAATGCCATCTCTGGCTGGCCCCAGAGTGGGGTGGGAATGGAGACTTTGCACTATCCTTCCCTTGCCATGCCCACCAAGCCATGCCCACCAAGCCACACCATGCCCACCAAGCCACACCCACAGAATCGGTAGTAAAAATTTTGAATTTCACCACTGCCCCTTAGCCTTATTGGAATCACAGAAGGAAAGATTTCCTTGGATCTTGGAACTAAGATGGAAAAATCTGAATTTGTCAATGGAAAGAAACGATGTCTGGGTTTTGGGTCCCCCGTTGAAAACTATCCTCTCTCTTTTTCTCTTGGATTGTTGCTAGGCCTCCTTGGGGAAGTGGGGGGGGGAGAAAGACATTTGCTTCATTCGGCTGCAGAATGCTAACGGCGACGAGAAGGCAGGTCCTTTGGGTGGGCAGGGTTCCGAGTTCAAGCTTGTCCATCAGATGGCCAGACGAGTGTTTTCTCCCCACCCCACTTTCTCCGTTACAGATTGCCTTGGGAGTTAGATTCCCACAAACATGCCCATGAAGTCCGATCCATTCTGAATGGTAAGGGGGGCTCCGGCGCTGTTGTCCACAAAGATGGAGATGTATTGTCCAACCTGCGCCATGGATGCCAAAGGAAGAGGGGAGAAAGGAAGAGGAAAAATGAATGAGACATGCATGTTGGCTTGATCGACAAATCAGAATAACAGAAGAGTTGGAAGGGACCTTGGAGGTCTTCTAGTCCAACCCACTGCTCAAGCAGAAAACCCTCAACTTACACAGTTTATTTAGTGAATGCTGGCAGTTACGAAGTTACTGAAAAAAGTGGCTTTGTGACCATTTTTCAAACTTAAAGACCATGACAGCATTCCCATGGTCATTTTGCTTGGACATGAAGACTTCCAAGGTCCCTTCTAACTCTGTTATTCTATTCTATATTCTATTCTATTCTAGATTCTAGATTCTAGATTCTAGATTCTNCTGACTTTTCTGATCGACAAGCTCAGCGTCTTAGCCACCGTGTCCCTCTTTAGAAATTACTCAAGGTCAAATTAGCCACTCCTAATAAAATGACTAACCAAGAATTTTTCGCCCAGGCATAAATTGGCTCTAGGTTTGCAAGCAATTTTTTGAACATTAAGGTCAATCTAAAAAAGTCCCAAATCTTCAAACTAACGAGAAGAGGATCTAACAATGTCCTGCTTTGAATTGGGACAGAGAAGAACTCTCGGGCCATCCTCAGCGTGTCACACAATACTCAGGATTGGAAAAACCGGAGGGCTTGGCTGCCCTCCTGATGCATTTCCCACAATCATCTGGTTGGCTAGTTCCGAACAGAAGACGGAGAACATAACAAATGTTTAGTTGCGTGTCAGTCCATCGACTTGTCCATGGCAGCAGCTTTCCAAAGACTAAACAGATTTTTTCTGATCCCACCAATCTGGGAGATACCAATACTATAAAGACCAAATCTATTTTGTGCCCAAAATCATGACTTGTGGCTATCAGCATTTCCGAGCCCAACACTGGGATATTTTCCCATGGAGATTCTTTTTTGACAAGCAGATTCCTAGAGATCTCCCGTGCTGGGTCGGCAGGATTTAGCTTTCAAGTCCAGAAAGGTTCCAGACTCCGGCCACGATCTATGGCTTCTCTAATGTACATTTGTCTTCTTCTGTAGACAGGGAAATGAATATCTTTCCAGGTGAACCCTCGTTGCAGGTACCTTTAAGTTAGAACCCGAGGCATTCCTAGAAACCAAAATAATACTAAAAGCACAGGGCACTTTTATTTTCTGGTGTTTTGACTTCCTGAATATATGGGACACATGGGTGCTACCCATAAGCTCTGAGGCCCAACATATTCTCAGCCCCCTTAGCAGGGGTGAAATTCAACAGGTTCTGACAGGTTCTGGAGAACCGGTAGCGGAAATTTTGAGTAGTTTGGAGAACCGGTAGTGGAAATTCTGAGTAGTTTGGAGAACCGGTAGAAGAAATTTTGAGTAGTTCGGAGAACCGGTAGCAGAAATTTTGAGTAGTTAGGAGAACCGGTAGCGGAAATTTTGAATAGTTCGAGGAACTAGTAGTGGAAATTTTGAGTAGTTCAGGGAACTAGTAGTGGAAATTTTGAGTAGTTCAGAGAACCGGTAGCGGAAATTTTGAATAGTTCGTAGAACTAGTAGTGGAAATTTTGAGTAGTTCGGAGAACCGGTAGCAGAAATTTTGAGTAGTTCGGAGAACCGGTAGCAGAAATTTTGAGTAGT